ATTTTCTCGTAGTAAATACAATCACCTTGCATTTTAAATATGAATTTTAAATGAATGAAAATTCTATATTGCCTTCCTCTGTGTTTAAAACCTAAATCTTTAAACACCCATCCCCCCTGACTCCCCTTTTATTTTGTTTTCTGTTTTTAACTATAAAATTGTTTCAGTTCTTTCAGGAAATTACATTCTGAAAAACTAATCTTTAAATCAAGCACTCAAATGAATGCATGTGGATAGGAAAGCAGAACTACAAGAGCAAGCTTAGCTTGATCCATGTGCGTTAATGAAGCTGCTAAATCACTAACTCTGATTGAGAAGCATATATATCTTAATGGGCATCAGATTTAAGAGTAATCTGCCCAAATTTTATTGTACATTCAGTGAAATGTTAATTGGCACACTGCCATTTACACTGAATACTTTCTTTCAACATTACAAATAAGGATCAATTGTCATTTATGGAAGTTGTCACACATTAATTACAGTAATCATGTAATTATTTAATGAAATTATTCTGTTGCCACTGAAAATCTTGTATTGACCAAACTCTTTTCATAACTGCAAGAATCAAATGATGACACTAAAATGTATTCACAGATTCATACAATTGCATCCATGAAGCGTGAATCCTCAGGCCCCAAGCCAATATTGTTTGACTATTGATTCCCCAGGAAAAAAAATCAGGATCTATAAGGATCAATATTTTTTTTTGCATACAACAGCAGATGAAACCTTATTTTGAATAAACTATGAGTTAATAAGTACTTTTATAAAATCTATTTAGTTTTGTGACTCATGCTACAGAAAGAATACAAAGTGACTATTTACTTAATTATTTTTCCAAAAACACGCCCCAAATCTCCAGTTGCAAATTCTCTCTAAAATTTCAATGCTACAATACAAGAAAAGTGAGAACTAATACTGCCATTTCTCACATGCAAGGAAGGAAGTATTTAAGACTCTTTGTTTGGTTTTATAAATCTTTATACAATTTGAATGTCTGTTCTATGACAAAGCTGATCAGCAGGTTATCTACTGAATAAAACTTTGTGGGACAGTGGACAAATCTGAACTACTTATAAATAGTGTCTGTAAGAAATCATCTATAAACAATTTATTCTGACATTCAAGTAAGTTCTGTACTTTAGAAGTGTTGAACTTGAACACTGTAATTCAACAGTAATCATTGGATTCTAATTTTTTTCTCAAATGTTCTTCAAATAAAGGTATTTAAGAAAGCATTCTTCATGTACTTTTCATTATGTCTGGAAATAAATGTTTGTTCTGTCAATAACTTAGTTTAGGAGATGTGTTTTATAGAATTTATCATTCATGTAAACTTTTTAAGCTTTTGGCTTAAAAAAATCAAAGAACATAATTCTTCTAATATTGATTTCTTACTGTGTTCATGATTATATAGTGATAAGAACTGATAAATAACATATTTTTATAGGTTAAAGTAACCCCAAGGTATATTCACGCAGAAATTTCAGATACAAAGTGAAAGAAAATCAAATTACTAGGTGAGAGGGAGACATGTGCAAAAGAGACACATGGATTTTTTAAAATTCATTCAGATTTTTTTTAAAAAAATAATCCTTGAATATGTAACGTGAATGTGATTGTGATTATTGTGGGACTATACTTGTTTCATTTATCCATAACAGTGAAGTTAAACAACTCAAACAGGTATGTGTACAGCCTATCACTAAGTAGAGCTGCCTTCCTTATTCCATTCTCAAACTAATCCAATTATTTTCTGAAATTAAAATTCCAAACCAGACTAATTTATGGTATTCCATTTATGGAGTACCAAATTAAATAGCCTGTTTCAGAGCATGTCTATTTCTGGAAGATTCTGAATTACTTTCAGTTTCAGTTTGGAAGATTACTTTCTGTAAATTTACTCCTGAAACTGTTAGATCAGTATGATCTGGAATTGCAATAGGATATTTTGGAGTTTTCTAAAGCATTTCATTACTGGCAAGTTCCATTAAAAAAATAATCTGCACTTTGTAAGTAATTCAATCAATAAATCCATCAATTAACCAATAGAAACAAATAGTTGAGTGAGGGGCAAGCTATGCAATATATAGCATAAGTGTTGTTTTCTTGGATTTTCCTATATGTTTTTCCTTTTCTTTAAAAGGAAGGAAAGCCTAAATTGGATTGAACAGAGCTACAATGGAATGGATGGAATGGGAGAAGGGTATACATCAATTAACAAAAAGTGTCCATGAACATTTTCCCATTTTCTGAAAGAATTCAAGTTTTAGGAAATAAAAGAAATAAACAAAACTTAAGCAGACACAATATGTACAATAAATGGAATGGAATAACTGCCCAAGTGCCCTCAGGACTGAAATGCAGTACATAATTTAATAAATAGTAAGAAACTGGCTGAAGGCAGTGGCGCACAAAGAGGATATATATCAGTGGTGGCAAACTTATGGCACAGGTACCAGAAGCGGCACTCAGAGCCCTCTCTGTGGGCACGTGCACCATTGCCCCAGTCCTAGGCCTTCAGCTGGGTTTTATAAAACCTTTTTGCTTTAGGCCTCCACCGCTGTGTGCAAAAAAGAAAAAGGTTCAATCAATCAGTCAATTTCAACTTCTCGCGAGAAAAACAATCTTGCAAAGTTGGAATTGATTGATTGAACTTTTTAGTCCCACCCAGTGTGCCATTACCACCGCAGCCACGCCCAGCCAATGGGCCACACCCAGCCAATGGGCCACGCCCACCCGGCACCTGATGATGCATAAGTGGGTTTTGGGTTGCAGTTTGGGCACTCGGTCTCTAAAAGGTTCGCCATCACTGATATATATCATATGGAATTGCTAGAATTTTTAAGAGAAATACATCACAATGAGAACTTCTATTGCAAACCCTAGCTATCTGCCCTGAAAGTTGATTTCTTAACTGTAATTACAGCAGCTAGATCTATTAATTCAGAACACTTCAAAAGCTAAGAATTGTAGTAATAGTTTCAAGTTCATTAATTGTTTATTAACACATCATGTAGAATAGAATAGAATAGAATAGAATAGAATAGAATAGAATAGAATAGAATAGAATAGAATCTGGAAGGGACCTTGGAGGTCTTCTAGTCCAACCTCCCGCTTAGGCAGGAAATCCTATACCATTTCAGACAAATGTAAGTAATTGGTTATGTATTTAAAATTATCTAAGAATAGCAGACACAAGTCAGACATATCTGTGAAAGCAATATTGAAAATGTATAGATTTTATTTTTACAGGAGTAAAAAAAATTCTGAAAGAAGGAAGCAGCAAATCACTTCTGCATTATTTTCCATGAAACTGCATGGTGAGCCCATGAAGTCATTATAAAGAGAGCTCTCACTTTCTTTGTTAAAACCTAGACTGGATCCAATCTCATACCTTCTGAATTCTTTTCCTGATTTTGTGATAATCAAAATATCTTGGATGCATAAAAACTCTATACCATTCTAAAACTTTTTCAGAAACTGGTGAAAGAGAGCATAACTAAGAAGACAATTGAAAAATCATAAGTCAGCTTCTTGCTCTTCTTTTCTCCTCAATAATAGTAACAATGGCAATGTAATCTTGTGCAATCCACTAGCATGTGAATTGTGGCAGAGTGAATGAATAGTGCCAAGAATGACAATGCTTGCAAAGCAATCATGGCACTCATTTTAGGCTCCATGCTATTTTCATTAATATTCTCAGTATTCAATCCAATAGAGTTTCATTAGAACAAATTATAAGTTGAATTTGTAATGATATAATGTTTTAAAGCAAAATGCACATGTTCTTACTCTAAGCACATCACATTACTGATTTGTTTATGTATGCATGCAAATTCATTCCAGGAAAGTAGCTTGAATGATCATTCCAAAACAAACAGGCTGTTCTTGTGGGGTTTTTTTTAAAAAAAGAACCCTAAACATTTATGATACAATACTTTTGTAGCATATGATGAATTTGATAAATCAGAAAATCATCATCACCATCACCATCATCATGATAACCATCATTTCTGTCAGAACCAATTAGATATAAAATTAGAAATCAGCAGTTAGTACTTCTCCTAAAATGGGAGGGCAAACTACTAAAGGATCCTTTATCACAGTGGTTCTCAACCTTTTTAATGCCGTGACCCCAACTGGTCGTAAGTCGAGGACTAAACCGGTCGTAAGTCGAGGACTAAGCCGGTCGTAAGTCGAGGACTAAACCGGTCATAAGTCAAGGACTACCCAACTGGTCGTAAGTCAAGGACTTTCCCTGCCCAGGAGCGCCGCACATGCGTGGTTCCGCCCCCTGCGCCGGCCGAGACATAGCTGGCAAGCGGCAGAGACGGAGCAGGCCGACCACCAGCTGGCCCAGCCCAAGGGAGGTAAGGCACCCGCCGGAAAAGGGGGGGAAAATGGCAGACAAAAAAAGGCAGACAAAAAAAATGGCGGACAGCCTTGCTTGGCGACCCCCATGAAGTGGTTGATTGACCCCAAATGGGGTCCCGACCCACAGGTTGAGAACCACTGCTTTATGAACCCAAGGCCAAATCCTAAGCATGGGAATGTGTTAAGATTGTATCCTATACCACTTACTTTATATAATTAAATTATTTTATTTAAACTTTTACTTTGTCAACTACATAACAAATGTCATGGTATTTTTTCCACAGAGTCAACATCACTGTGTGGACTCAGTTTCAATCAAGACTCTTATATAGAATAAAAAAATTCCATTATAATCTTCCTGATTTGATATACCCAGTTCTCATTTACCTTTTATTTCTAAAGTAAGTTTCTTGATTGCTGATCTTTGTCAGACTTTTACTTCACAAAGTTACATTGTTGTAAAGACATCAGTTATCCTTAAACAATTAAGAATGGTGATTCTATACAGAACATACTGTATTAAAGCATATTTATTTCAGATTCTAGGCTATTTCATTATAACACTGTTCAGACAATTAATAGCATATATTTTAGTACGTAATGTTTCAATTTGTGCTTACCTGTTTAATGTCATAAGCAAGGAGAACGTATCTTAAATCTGGAGATACTGAATATCTGGATGCTTTGAAAGTTACCTATGAAGATATAAGCGAGTAAGTTTATTTACAGGACTGATATGGTCTTGTAACTGATGTAATCACTCTATGAGGCTCTCAACAATCCATAAAAAGATGGTTAAAAACGAAAGTACCTTTCCCACCAAGCTCCAGACAAAACATCTTCATAGCTCATCCCCATCCTAGCCCAATGCTTGGGGGAAAAGCCCAGTCTTCACAAACCTCCAGAAGGCTAAAAGATAATAATATAATAATAATAATAATGATAAAGTTGGAAGGGACCTTGGAGGTCATCTAGTCCAACCCCCTGCTCAGGCAGGAAACCCTATACCATTTCAGACAAATGGCTGTCCAGTCTCTTCTTAAAAACTTCCAGTGTTGGAGCATTCACAGCTTCTGGAGGCAGGTTGTTCCACTGGTTAATTGTTCTAACTGTCAGGAAGTTTCTCCTTNTCATGTCCTCCCTCGTCCTTCTCTTCATTAAACTAGACATACCCAATTCCAGCAACCGTTCCTCATATGTTTTAGCCTCCAATCCCCTAATCATCTTTGTTGCTCTTCTCTGTACTAGGGCTGGGGGAATCACTGAGATCCCATCAGGTAGTAACATTTAAGGACAGAGACCTGGAGTACAACCATTCTATCTAACCTAATAGGATGAGCAGAAACCCTCAGGGAGAGTTGATCCTGCAAATAACCTATCCTGTCTCACATAGCTGATTATAGAAAGTACAAGACATTTAAGAAACCAGGACCTTTTTTTTTTTTGCAATGTTACAGTAGCCACATCTTTTAAGAATGCTGCCTTCAAAGGCTTGTGCATATACTATATGTGCATATGCAAGTTCTGATCAGTGGTGGGATTCAGCCAGTTCGTATCAGTTCAGCAGAATTGGTAGCTATTTTTTTTTTGCCTAGGCCCAGAATGGAAGCAGCATCCACGCAGAGAACCGGTTGTTCACATATTTGAATCCCACCACTGGTTCTGATGCTTTTTTAAAAATGAAGAAAATAATACTACAAACCTAACTGCATCTGATGATATAACACAGAACAGGAATGGAGCTGCTACTGCAAAGCTGGGACATTGTTTTATTTATTTGCTCCTCCCCCACAGCCTCTGCCTGCAAATGCTACAAACATGTTTGTTTGCTGTCAGTGTCCACAATGTGTTGGGCACACTTAATCTATTGCAAACTACCTTCCAAGAAGTAGTGCAAGTCTTCCAAGGAATGCTACTAATTTATTGCTTGGATGAGGGGTGCTAATATTCTTTGCAAAATATTCATTTTAACTCATTTCATGCTTCACAGGTAACTATGTTTAATGTTTAAGGACAATAGTAAAACTCAAGTTTAAAGTATTTGGAACATTTCAAAGCAATTGGTGCTATAATATGTTGATTTACTGTTGAAAAGAAAAGAAAAAAAGGGTGAAAATCCTGGTAAACAGCATAAAATCCTTAAAATGACCTTTAAATTTCAGTCTAAGCAATTTTCAGGTTTTAGGTAAACATGGATCTAAATAATTATGGGTAAATTTGTAACCTGTGGCAGTATTCGAAACAGCTCAGTTATTTATGAAGTCTATCTATCTTTGCCCTAAGCAAATTACTTTGGAAAAGACAGCAGCATGATTTCTGAAAATGTATCATGCACCTAACTGTCTTTAACTATTTTCTTCTGATCTTTCTATTTAGAAACAAAAACAAACTCTTCTCACTAGTATGGTAAGTAGAGAGGAAAAAGAAGCATTGTCAATCTAATAATATCTTTTTCGAGATAAGGATACATGACACTCGATTAAATTTGAGGCTACAATTTAATCAAAAGTTATTGGTAGTGATGGAAAGATTTAATGTATGTGATATAAAAGAAGGCTCAAATTATAATTGTAGCAAGAAAACTATATATTCATCTCAGCTGAATATATTTCCTAACTATAGACAAAAGAGCTACTTAAATATGAAGGAAAAGATGGGATGAATATCTTTAAACAACTGCTTTGACAGAATTAAAACAAGAAAAAAAAATATGGAGGGCAATGTCCACAACAGGATTCTTGTTAATATGCCTCTGTGCCCCATAGGAATGGGAAATTTGGGAAGCATTTTTTTTAATTTTTGTAGTATTTTACATTAATATTTCCTGCACTGCAAATTCCAAAGTATGTTTTTTTCTCCAGAATTAAGCATATATATAAAAAAAACATTTTCAAATGTATTCAAAAACACTTTTATCCAGTTTTGCTCATTGCCCCATATTGTATTTGGATTCTTTAAAAATATAGTTTTCATTTTAGCTCATCCAATTTAGCTAGACTTCTTTTTCTACACCATTGTGTGCATTTTTATTAGACACAAATCTGCAAATCAACCATACAATGAACCATATTTTATCAGCATTTGTACATCATAAAATGTTTCCATTTTCCCATCCAAGTAAAATCTCTGTCATTGTGTACAAACTCACTACTTGCTCTATCTTTCTGGCATGCTTTATAACTTGCATTTTTTTATAGAACTTTCATGTCAAACACAATTACCTCGGTCTTTGATATATTGATGTTTAGACCTCATTCTTTAGCTACCATACATTCTATCTAGCATTTGCAGGAGATTCTTCAAATAGATAAAGCTTCATAATCACAACCAACAAACCTTGTATACAAAAATTCTTATGGATTTGTCCATATATACATTAAATAACCAAGGGGATGCCCCTGCCTTACACCCTGTTAATAGTAAAACATTCCACTCATTCCCATGCCTACTTTATTTCACCATATACCACTCTTATAACAATCAGTGAACAACTTTCAATTCTGAATTTGTATAGAATATTTGACCCTTCAAGCCTATTCACGTTAACATATACTTTCACCAAATTTGCAAATGTATAATAATTTTTATTTCTTACATTCATTTAATGTTTAATCTCTTATTGAAAAGAAAAGATTTAATTGCCCAATTCCTGCCCAAAATACAGCTACATTGTACCACACATTTTTGGTTCACTATCATTTCTTACATCTTTTCCATAAGAATTCTGCCAGGCACCTCCCCTGGGCACATTTAACAAAATGCCCAGGCTCTTCAATCTGGATAAGAACTTTTGTGATCAACTACAAACAGCCAATCTTTGATAGGTCAGTTAGCTGGTGTTACCTGATTGGTTGGTGGGTGGAACCTTTTCCTTTGAATTCTAAATGGGGGGGACTTGGACCTGCATTAAAGTGTAGGGGAGCAGAACTACAAGTCCCAGCAGCTCAAGGGGGAAAAGGAGGAGACAAAACTGTGAGGAGAGACTGGAAAAAGGCAGGAAAGTAAGGACTGAGGTGAGAGACAGTGTTGTTCTGAAGGAGAGAAATGCTGTGACATTCTGGGGTGACAATTCAAATCCAGCAGCAGAGCTCAAAAATAGCTGACTTCCAGATCCAGCAACAGTTTCCCCGGTTCATCACCTTTGACTAGAGAGGACTGTTATCTTAATTAAAACCTCACAAATCCCACAAGATGTGTCAGTGTGTTTGGGCCAGACAAGCTAGTCAGAGGGACAAAAGGGCCTGATCATCATCAGCCCCTTGGGGTGTGTGTGTGTGAGAGAGAGAGCTACATATAATTTTTAAATTCACTTTTGCTACCTTGCCTTTTGAATAGGAGAACAATAACATCTTGTCCAATTCTTAGCAAGATGTAATTTCTACCCACAAATTATGTTCTGACCCACATTCAGAATCTGTCATCACCTTTGTATTCTTCAGAAATTCTTTTAATCTTTCATCATAAACAATCAAATCAGTCATATTTAGCATTTAAATTCATTACTTTGCCTTATGAACAGAATTAAATTTTAATCATGTATTCAAAATAAGCAATTCTTTTCCAAGCAGAGACCTATCAAGCAATCAACATTCTGATCCATTCTTGGCCCCTAAAATAATCTACTCTCTCTTTCTATACTTACCCACTCTTATGTATGACTCTGAACTGGGTAATTTTGCCACCATTGCAAATGGTGCACAATGTATTCCCAAACAGATTCTTCAGTTATTATCTCAGATTCTTTGGTTATTATCAGCCAATAATTAATACACAATTTTTATCAAACTATGAATTCTTTCTTTCAAAAGCACAAACAATAATTCAGATATTTCATTCATAGTTAAATGTTACCTTCTTCTATGTCCAATAATAGAATTTTTTTTTTAAAAAAATAACTTGTTTAATATAAAACAGGCTAATATTTTCTGACCCTATTAAGAACAATTGCAAGGCCTGTGGATTTGCCCCTAATGTGAAGTAAGGAATGTTACATTTATAATTTCCAACTTTTTTTATTTCCAACTATTGGTAAATATATGCAGATATAAAAATGACATGACACTATGCATACTAATAAAGATAAAACCAAGTATCCTTACAAATAATATACATCTGCTTTTCCAGATAAAAATATGCATTATAACAGTTTAATCAAGGAACCACCAAGAACATCCTCACCAACACTGACAGGGAAAGCCACTTGTATATAATGAGGTTATCTAAATGGGTAATGAAATCTCCACAAGAAAATCACCAAACTCAGAGAGCATCAAGGATCCACAGTGATAAATGTTAAAACTGTTTCATTGTATCATTGTATTGTTGTGTTTATACCTAGCATGTTTTAATTGATACAAGTTCCTCTGGTATTTGAATAAATAGAAAGACAGAATATGAATTTACTAGTAAAAAAGTAAATAAATATATTTAATATGAATCAGTATTCATGGATTAGTTAATACAATGTTGTGCTTAAAAGACATAATATAAGCAGCTGTAACTTGAATTTCATTATGAAACTCCTGAATACTATTCCATTTGTCTTCTGAAATATTCACACCTGATTTTTACATTAGATCAGATAAAGGAGAACTATGGAGATTTAATGCTATACCCAGGCCCACTTTAAATGAATTATAAATGTGTCCCATGTTATTTAAGCTCAGACTGGAGGAGTTAGTGGAAAATAATAAGAATGAGATTAATTTGATCTCTAGTAACCCTTTGCTGGACCAAAGAAATAATTTTAATAGAACCAGACTCTACATTACATGAAGTTTTGGATACATATTATTTATACTAAATGTATATATTTCATGCATGAAAGATCAAGCATCTGACATCTTAAGAAAGCAGGTTTCACCTGCATCAACAGTGTTGCATTTAATAACTAAAAAATACAAATATTTATCCGGGCTACTTTATCAAATTTGTGTCAGTTATGTTCAGAATTTTAAAGGTATAAATTTAAAAGAAATGCATGAATAAAATTACAGGTAGTCCTTGAATTACAACCACAAATGGAACTGGAATTTCTTTCACAAGTTGTTGTGATCATAATTTGAATCAGACCCAATTTTATAACAATTTTTACCATGGTTGATAAATGAGTCATGTGGTAATTAGGCAAATCCAACTTCCCCAATGAGGATTTTTTTTAAAAAAATGTCACAATCACATTCCACAGGACATTGCAACCAGTCATAATGCAAGCCAGTTGCCAAGCTCCTGAACTGCAATGTCATAACAGTGAAGGGTGGTACAATGCTACAATGCAAGTCTTAAGTAATTTCTTCACTTTTAAGTCACTTTTTCTAGAGGCTGTGAATTATCATTAAGCAAATAGTTGTAAGTCAAGGACTACCAATTATATTCTCACTCCAACTGAGCTTCAGAGAAGTCTAAGTTTAATTCAGTTTAAAATCTTTCACAAATTAAATAATGAGACATAAATTGGTAGTACTGTAATAATATTTGGGATATTAACCAAAGAACAATTTAAATATTAGGAGAAAACACAAATATTAGTTAACAAATTGCTGTGTTTTTATAGTGCTAATATTGCTCTGCTTTTCTAAATAATATCTACTAAAATTAAATGAAACAAAAAATAAGAGAACTGTATGTTAACATAATACTGCATATGATATAGTTTAATCTATGGTCACTTTTTAAATCATTTTGCAATAATACAGAATTCTCTGGAATATCTCAAATGTTATCATAATGTTTCATACACAGAAGTTGCCCAATCTGAGAAATTTCCATGGGATGAACTCTGTATGTCCTCTTTGAACTGAATTGAAGCACGGAAGCCAAGATAAGTGTACAGTGAAAGAAGGACAATCACTCCCCCAAAATTTGTAAATTCCTTTTCTAATTTGAAGATAATGTCAAAACCAAATTCCATAAAATTGAAAGAGCTGGAAAGTAAAATGCAGGATAATGGATTAATGAAATCTGCTTCTGACAGGAAGTGTCTTGGGTAAATATGTTTCCTTCCAAAACAATTATATTGTTTTGTAGCTTGTTTTTCGATTTTCGATTTTTAACATGATGCTTTGTAGCCCGCAAAATAATAGCATAAAAATATTAGTTTGATAGGGTTAAATCATTATATTTTATCATTATAAAAATGCAAAAACAACCAATAAAAGTTGTGTATCTTCAGCTTTATAATCCATATTGATGAATTAAGAAGCTATTATGTGCTTTAAAAGACAGGATACCTTGGGTGAATTGAGTCTTTCTGTTTGGTTAATTATAATATTATAGCACTTGTAATAGCATTAGCACTTATTTATTTATTTATTTATTTATTTATTTATTATATTTCTACCCCGCCCTTCTCCCTGCGGACTCAGGGCGGCTTACAACCATTCAAAAACAAATACAAAAATACAAAAATGCCAAACTCAACATGCCAATTAAAATGAAACATTACTCTAGAACCGAAAATTCATTTTAAATTATTTTAAAACCAAATTAAAATAACCCTTAGACCAGTCCTGCTAACTTGAATAGCCATGTCTTGAGGGCGCGGCGGAAGGAGGGGAGATCCGGAATCACTTAGACTTATATACCACTCCAAAGTGCTTTACAGCCCTGTTAGTGGTGCCCCCAACAATCTGGATCCTCATTTTACCAATCTCGGAAGGATGGAAGGCTGAGTCAACCTTCAGCCGGTCAGAATCGAACTTCTAGCCGTGGCCAGAGTTTGCCTGTAATACTTTATTTTAACCACTGTGCCACCATGGCTCCTGTATATTATATACAACTATTAAATGAATAGCAATAAATCTTGCTTTTTTGAAAAAAAAAGTTCTCATGATTGGGATTTAATTCTCTAATTGACAGTGACAAGTGGAGAATGATATAACAACACTACAAAGCAGATCTTTTTCCTTTTCTACCTTTAATTTTCTTGTTTTCACAGATTCCAGTGACACAATTTTCTTTAAATCGTAATGAATAAACTAGTTATACACATTCAAGTAGTTCTATATTGAACACAAACTAATTCTATATTTACTGCTTATCAAATCATTATGTCCCAACTTTTATTTCACTAATTCCAGGTTAAAGCTTTCAACAATTACAATTCATAGAATTGAAGTGAGTGATAGAAAAGAAGCAGACACTGTCCCCTGCAACATGAACTGCAGCTTATTAAATTTATACTTTTTAATAACATTTGTTAGCTGGAAAAGATGCTATCTGACTACCTTCAGAGAAAAATCAGCTTGACTTCTGAACAGATTTTATAAATGTTGAAGATTTTATTTGCTAAAATTTACAAGTACAATCATAACCAATAAAGATTATATTTTTACATGACATCCTTATTTGTCCTTTTTAAAGTTTGCATTTTACAGTTCTTACCAAAAATGGAAAAATTAAATAGATATAATTCAATTAAAGAGTGGCATGTCATAAACATTTTTTATTCAGTAACCCACATTATAAATAATCAATTGATTTTTCAATAATGAGAGTATGTATCTGTACTACCAATCAATATCAGTCAGTCTTGCTGGTCTCATGGTCTCTTGTTTTGTTTATCTGTGACTCCATAAAGCAGGCAAGAACATGCCATAGTTAACATGCCACATTCAAAATTATATATGAGGTAGATTTGAAATAACTCTTGCAAATAGATTCAGAAAAAAAGAACAATGTAATTTCTTATTAAAAATTAAGAATACTTACAAAAGTTGCATTTTCCAGCAATAATGTAGTTGTATTTGTTTCTACATTCAGTTTAATAACATGTCCATTCCTGTTTTTATATATCACTTCTGTATCTGTTAATAGAAAATGCATTAAGAATTAGAAAATGCAAATATTCTATGCAATAGCTTCTTAGTTAATAGACTTTTTCAATAAAAAAGTGCACCATTGACCATCCAATACATTAAAATGTGATTAGGCTGAGATAATGACTTCATCAGTGTTATCTGTTTTTGTTAATTTGTTCAGAGATAAGTGCCCTTGGTCTTTTTGACTTATTAATGGAGATAGTCTTTCACCTTAGCATTATTATACCTTCTCCTTTGTATAAAACAAGGTCAATTAACTTTTTTTAAAAAAGAAGTAAGACTTAAGCTGTTTGACCTTATCCCCAAAACATCTCTCTCTCCCTCCCTCCCTCCCTCCCTCTCTCTCTCTCTCTTGTTTTTTGCACTGTTTTCCACTGTTGCTAAGTAAGAATACATTGGATTTTTTTTACATTTAGAAACAAACAAACAAAACTTTGCAGAATGGTTAGCTACCTCATTATTCTACTGCCCTGAAGTTTTGTAATTCTCCACCTATTGAAAGTAATCTTAAACATTGCAAAACACTTTACTGAAATAAGCTTTGATTGCACATAAACCTTATATTAACCATGCAATGGCTGTACAAAAAAGGAAGAAAACTGTAAAGATTGTACTGTGATGAAATAGTACTGTGAAGAAGAACATATAATACAAATAAATTTGAACTGTTATGCTTACATGTTCTTCATTCCTTTCATGTCACCTTTCAGATTCTGCACTAACTAGAGTAACTTCTAATCTGTTTCTGGCTCATCTTTACTATTTTATCTAATGAAGAAAAAAATCATCATTATAGATATCATTTTAAAAAGAACTAGAAATATTATTTATTGGATTAAGACTAAAGATGGCACAGTATCCTCCAGCCATCAGGATATTTTTATATATATCTTCAAGTCCTTTCATTTTAATTACTCAAAAG